ACATGGGTGACATGTGGTAGTACTCTATTGGTTGTAAAATTAGGTGTATACAATACTAAATGTAAATTTGCATTAAGGGTATTATGGACTTTTTCAAAAACCTCAATACACTTACTGTAAATTTGATTAGAGCATTTGGACTTTTATTATAAACCATGAAATTTTCTCTGTTTTCCAAATATAAACTGTAATTTTTCATCCAATTAGACTTCAGTTGTGTGAGTGTGTGTCTGTGTGTGTGTGTGTGTTTGTTTTTTTTTCAATTTACAATTAAATGCCTCGAGTTAATTTTTGTGTATCTCTAATGTATATAATAGAATTAATTTTCTTAAATACTATTTTCAAGACTTAAACTTGGATTTGAATCACAAGGTTTAGCTGGGGTTTGAGTTTTGGTTTTTATGATCCTACCGTGAACGCGTACAGATGTACCACATCAAAACGCTTAATGAACATTTAGAACAAACTCCAACGTCAAAAAAATTGCAAATGAGATCTAGATCAAACAGAAAACAAACAGGAAAAAAGGAAGACTATCTACATGGATCTGGAGAATAAATGGAATAAACTCAAAATAAACTTAATTAGTTGTTAAAAAAACAAAAAAAAAAAAAATAGTTATATAATTTCAATCAGACGACTGGGCAGCCATCAACAATAACTCCTTTTGCGGTTGGACAAGAAGCCAGGGGGCAACCATCTCCTTCATTTCCCCACCAATTCAGTCCAATCTCCTTTGATTGCAGAGTCAGAAAAAACAGCACTGTTGCGAACGCTGTCCCAGCATCAAGTCCCCCGGAGAGGATGTAATTGTACCTCTTCCACCATTCTGGGACGTAATTGAAAATGACATACCCGAAAATGAAAGCAACCACAAGCCAGCTGGTGAAGTTCACGGGGGAGGCTGGAGGCATAATGGCTGTGGCGCCGAAGAGTACTGGAATGTGAATGCTGCGGATCCAGTTCTGGTTTGGGAACATTTTGTGTGCAAGCCAGACCAGGAATGGTGCTATGGCTCCACCAAGGAAGAACCAGTTGATCTTTGCGTATACGCCAAGGTCTCCGAAGATTCGGCGTGGTCCTACGAGTCCCCAGATGACTGAGGCGTCGAAGAATACGGTGTCAGCGGGGCATTTCCAAGGACTTTCCGGCGGTAACAAGGAGGTGTCACATAGATGAGGAATTTCTTCCATCAGCCACCATGCCGTTATGGTATACACTACCACTGCCACAATTGTTCCCACAACCTGCAGCATTTCCATTTTGGTTAGTCATGTCTTTTTCCTTTCAACATAACCACTTAAAATGTACTGAAAATCAAGAGTTTGTGCAACATGAGGAATTAATCATGTTGATAAGGAACTCAAAAACTGACCTGTGCCATGAACATGGACCTAGGAGGGATTTTCATGTAGTGGCCGAGCTTGAAGTCCATAAGGAAGGTCAGAGCTTGAGTCATGCTGATATATCCATACACCTTGAAGCACATATTAGCAACAGGGCGTTCTGGGTACATGTACCCAATTACATATTCTGTGATGATGTTCAAACCTGGTTGCTGTACGTATTTCCATTATATCAGTGGACAAATGAAAGTGTACTTTAGAAACCATTAAGTAATATGAATTTTCAGCATTGAGTATTAGTGTGACACGAGTCAACAGAGTTAAAGAGTCCATCCATGTAACATGGTGATGAACAAATAACTTGTACAGTGTGATTGAGTTTTGAATTCTAAATTTTACCTGATTTGTGGTAGCACAGATGACGCCAATAGGGAGGGTGAAGAAAATGGCAATTCCACAAGCTAACAAGACGCCCCACCAAGGCAATTGCAGGGAATATTTGTAATGTTCACAGGTAAATATTATAAGGGCAATATTCAGCACAAGGATGAGATGAAACCACCATGTAGGAACTGATTTATACTTCTTCATTAGCCTTGTGTGGATATCCATCTTTGCGTTTCCCGAAAAAGCTCCCTTGGTTTTATTCCATAGCTCCCTGTATATATACATATAAGCCAAAGGCAAAAGAGAAAATGATAACATAAAAATTTCATTAAATCGCAAGAGTTGGAGATTAATTTCTCTTAAATTTTACCTTCCATCAAAAAGAAGTACATGGACAATTGTAGCAGTGAGTGTTGCAAATCCGAAGCCATAAGTCATGGCAAAGAAGGTGCTCATATATAAGTGTCCACTCTTTGCATAGGCATCCCTATCTAGATGAAAGTTGGAATCAACAATGCTTAAGATGTCATACTTCTCCCCATTTCCCATGAAAAGCTTGTTGGAGAAAATGGGAAAGGTCTTGGCCTTGTAGACGTTAAACCAGTACGTAAGGGGAGTCGTTACGTACATCACAAGGAAAAATCCAACAGCAACATTGACAGTGGCGAACCACGGGCTAGCCATAGGACTCCCAAGGAAAGATGAGATTGTACTCCAGTCAATCCCAATGGAGCCAATTCCCAGGCCAAAAGAGCCTGAGCCGAGTTGCTGGACCAGGACGGACTTGGGTGCCAGCCAACAAACCCAAGACAAAGACGTTAAAACGATTACTAGGTATCCAGGAAAGATGAAGTAGGCGAAGCTACACATCATGACGATAAGGAAGAATTGGTTCAGTGTAGTTCCACCTCTTGGCCTCTTTTCCTTCTCATGAAGGGCCCTGGAGTTAATATAAAATTAAAATTAAAATCCACATATTTAGCATGGACAAGCCAAAAAAATTTTAGTGAGACAAAATAAAAAATATTATTGTGTTTAATTTAAATAAAAAATTTAAAATACTTATCGATCTATATTAAAAGTTCATGTATGAGCAGTTACAAAAGGTGAATATGAATGAATACCTGAAAAGTGAAACCATAACCAGATTACTTGGCCACCACATCTCCCCTGGCTCCACCAGGTATTTGCGGAAAACCCCAGCCCATCCAAACCCCAATATCTACGTATTACAGATCAAATAAAAAATATATATATTAGATCACACGCATATGATAATTCAATAATGAAAATAAATAATCTATCACCCGAATATTAGTTGTATCTTTCAAAAGTACATAGGTTCTACAGGAATTTGTGTGGATTTAGTCAAAAGTGTGGCAAAAATAAGCACATGCGTTTTAATTATAATTATAATAATGAATATTATAAAAATTAGCAAAAAAATAGAAATTTAAAATTTTTGCTACAGATCTATATGAGTTTACCTGTGTTGTAGCCATAACAATGAGGGAAGGAACAAAGCCGAGAGACCGCTTGTAAAACAGCCTAACTGCACTCAAGATATGAGTGGCATAAACAGTGCCGGCACCGGAGTTGGCGAAGATGGTGATCAGAACATGTTCTTTAATGTTGAAGGGACCCGGATTGAGAGTGAATTCCCATCTGGTACCCTTAAAGAAGGGCCGCTCAGGAAGCGTTTTGGCCATGAGGTGACCGAGGGGTACGACAGCAATCATGGCAGAAATGGCTGAGACATTCAAGGGATTGTTACGGTACCAGAAGAATTGATTGACAAAAGACAAGATGATGCAGGCAGCGAGACCCAGAACCCATGTCCGGAATGTGACTGAGGGTATGGTGGGATCGTCCGTTGTTGGAACCGTCATCTGAACCTGTTTCACCGTAGATTCCTCTGAAACCTCCAAGTCCATTGGATGAATCTCAGATGCGTCACCCATACTGTGGTGTATCCAATACGGAGAATGAGTGAATAAAGGAGGAGGAGGAGAAGAAAATAACAGAGTTACGAACAGGAGCAGGATTTTTTTTTTTTTTAACAGAAAAAGTGATATTTATTGAAAAAAAAAAAAGAGT